CAGAAACAGGACAGAAAACATCTTTTCATGAGTCAAACCAGAGAGCAGACACGGTACGATAGTTCTAACACTAACAGAGCGGAACTGAAAGCAGATTGGATGTAATTTGGCACTACCCATTAACTGACACACAGTTTCGTTATTTGCACACAGAATTCTGGAAAAGAAACTGCAGTATGCGGGAACCCAATAACAATCATTCTACAATCTGATATTCAAACTCCACCAGATAATTCTTCAGATCAAAAGAGCAGAACAAAAGAGGTCCTTTGGATCTTTAACATCGAAGTTATAAAAGATGATTTAAGATGTATAAAATAACATAAAGTATTACATTACACTCCGTTTCCTGCTCAGTACATTTTACCAGGACATTAAAGCGGCACTGTCATGCCGAACTTACCTTTCCTCAATCTCTTCCTCGTCTCCCCCTCTCTCGGGATCTGTTATTCTTTTCTTCCTATCTTCTTTAGTTTTCTTTAAAATCATAAGACAAAGTAGGGACTCTTTGCCTTATGGTGGATTCCTCCGGTTGACCAGCTCTGACCAGCGGAGGAGCAAAGTGTGCTTCATTTCCGCTGGTCAGAGCTATTTTCCCATGATCCTTACCTTTCCTCTGTGTTCCCACAATGCTTCCTGTCATTTTACCTGAAACTGCCGAATTGCGTTCTAACTAAATGAGAACAGTATGTTCGTTTCTTTTAGAACTCAATTCGGCATTTTATTCGGATCGCAATTTCATTCGAATGAATGAAACTCCAATCCTATTCTTGCTGTGGCTGCATCTTGCAGCCGCTTAGTAGATAACTCCCTAATTCTTCTTCAAACTCTGCAATCGCTTGGTCTCTGTGACTCTGTCCTCTCGTGGTTTTCCTCTTATCTCTCCTAATACTGATCCTCCTCTTTCGCTCTCCCTTCAAGTTTGTGGTACCAACATCAGCCCATCCTTGCAAGTGCGCTGTCTTGGCGTCATACTTGACTCTGGTCTCACCTTTGAGCCTCACATCCAGCATGTTGCCAAATCCTGTAGATTAGTTAGAGAGAGTCCAGACGTCTGTAAAGAGAGGTGGTAGAAAAATTAGAGAAAAGAGAAAGGAAATTCTCGAGTAGTCAGAGGAGTCTATGAGATAAATTTGGCAGGTGGAGAGAGACATATTAGAGATAGATCACAGTACGCAGGTCTGATATTATTATAATAATAATAATAATAATAATAAATGTAGACATATAGTGTCTCCTGTGAAGCATGTTAATACCCCCCAAATGGTGATTTAGTCTATTACAGTACTACTACTACTACACAAAATAACTACTTATTGTACCTCTGCCTTACCAGCAGAACTTGTCTATGCTATACTCACCAGAATAGATTATATGGACCTGCAGGATTACCAGAAACAGGACAGAAAACATCTTTTCATGAGTCAAACCACAGAGCAGACACGATGATTTTGTTCTAACACTAACAGAGCGGAACTGAAAGCAGATTGGATGTAATTTGACACTATCCATTAACTGACACACACAGTTTCGTTTCTTTATACGCACACAGAATTCTGGAAAAGAAACTGCAGTATGCGGGAACCCAATAACAATCATTCTACAATCTGATATTCAAACTCCACCAGATAATTCTTCAGATCAAAAGAGCAGAACAAAAGAGGTCCTTTGGATCTTTGCAGTTTTGCTTGCAAATGTATAGATTGGGAGAAAAACCTTTTTAAATGTAGGTTTTTCTCCTAGTTCTCAGTCAGTGCTTCAGCAGACACTCAATGCCGAGGCATTGACTGACAAGGGAGAGCAAAAAAGACCTCCAACAGGAGGTGCTTCTACTCTCCCATGCGGTTGCTGTGGAAACTCTCTAGCCAGCGCTTCTAGTGGCAGCTAGGTAGTATAGGAACAGAGTTTCATGACGTCTCACCATTCCAACGGTGGAATGATGCCATAATGCCAGTGTCACTGAGGAGGTTTTCCTAAATTAGGGGAAATCGGAGAAGATCGGAGACTGAGAGCATTATGGCCCGGAGGTTGGTGTTATATGAAGAGTAACACGAAGCTCAAAGATGTCAACACCTGAACGGAGGAGAGGTGAATAAATCTCTATATTTTACATAAAATACATCATGTATCTTTGTCTTATATGATGTAAGATGTTTGTCTTATATGATGTAATATGGGTGCACCTTAAGGTAAGTTTATTTTTCCTATACAGTTTCACTTTAAAGAAACACGCTGGCTAGAGTGCATTATATGTAAAGAGTGTGTGCTCTTTGTAATTAAAAATAAATAAATGCAGATTTCAATAGAAGTCAACACTTTTAGAAATGATCCCTGTTATACCTCCTTGGCTGTCAATCATACAGCTAGGAGGTATTTCACATACCTGGAAGGGGACCCAGCAGTTTTCCCATCAAAATGGGAGGTTTTGAATGAAGAGAGGCAATGGATAAGGGTGTGTGTGACCAGGGGAGCAGTGAAGATTTTTCGCACAGGGTGCCTAAAGGCCTAAGGCCGGCCCTGACTGTGATTCAGAAACAGAAAGCAATACCATTAGCTCAGTGTGTTCTAATCTCAAGATCAGGAAAACGGTAGGTTGATTTCACAGGGAGTTTTCATGAAAGAATGGGACTTTTTCTCAGAACAAGGATTGCTGTGTACAGTGCTATATCTACAATGTTATGCCTTCATGACACGTTTCAATTATACTGTCTACACGAAGCATCCCTCTCTAGCAATGCTGCAAGCAATGTGACATTATAAACCACTTATGAAGGTAAACATGCTGGTGTGCCTTTGACATGTTCTCTAACTGAAGTGGGACGTGGTCTAAAATAGAGAAAATTTATGACAAACTTACCGTAATTTTCTTTTCCTGGCTATTTCTCATGGCAGCATCACTTATGGGTAGCTCCTCCCTTAGCAGTCACAGGATATGAATTAATTAGATTAATCAGACTGATAGGTATAAAGAGTCCCTCCTCCCCTTACACCTCAGTCCAATTATAAAGCTGAAATAAAAGAACGGGCGGGAACCCTGATGCTGCCATGAGAAATAGCCAGGAAAAGAAAATTACGGTAAGTTTGTCATAAATTTTCTCTATTCCTGGCTAATCATGGCAGCATCACTTATGGGTAATACCCAAGCTTCACAGAAATATAGGGTGGGAATAATAATCCAAGAATTTACACAAAACTGATTCACTTGCAGCAAAGAAAGTTTAATATCAACGGGATAAAGAAACCGTAGACAGGACACTCTTCCCAAAGGAGGTGGAAGAAGAATCCACATCAAGTTTGTAGTGCTTCATGAATGTCATCGGAGAAGACCAGGTGGCTGCTCTGCAAATATCATCGTATGGAACCTCTGCCCAGCTAGCCCATGAAGTAGATAATGCTCTAGTAGAATGAGTCCTTATTTCCCGTGGGGGTGATATACTGTTAGAGATATACGCCTTCTTAATTACTAGAGAAATTCAACATTTCAACGTAGATAAAGAAGCCGCCTCACCTCTCCTTGCCCCCAACGGCAAAACGAAGAGTTGGTCCGTTTTACGTAAAGACTCAGAACGCTTAAGGTATGCAGACAGGCAGTTCATGACATCCAAACGTTACTATCTAACCTCCTCCTGAGAAGAGGGATTGGGGTAAAACGATGGAAGAACCACTTCTTGAGAGAGATGAAACTGAGAAACCACCTTAGGAAGAAACTCCGGTTTTGGTTTTAGACACACCCTATCTTGGTAGAATCGTAAACAAGAAGATGATGTAGAAAATGCCTTAATCTCTGAAATCCGTCTTGCGGAAGTAATTGCCACCAAAAACAAAGTTTTATACGTCAGGAGAGTAGCATCCAAACTTTCAAGAGGAACAAACAGATCCTCAGTGAGATAATTAAGCACCAGAGGAAGATCCCAAGGAGGAGTAGTAGATCTGGAAGGAGGCCTCAACCTGAAGGCCGCGTTGAAGAACCTGGAGATCAAAGGATCCGAAGCCCATGAGATGTTGCACAAAGCTGAAAGTGCTGAAGACTGAACCTTCAGGGTGCTGAGGCTAAGGCCCTTATCCAGGCCCTCTTGCAGAAACTCCAAGATCTCAGTATTGCTAGGATGCAGAAAGTCCACATTGTTAGATGATGCCCATGCCTGGAACACATCCCAGATCCTATGGTAGCATGAGGAAGTAGAAGCTTTCCTAGAGAGCAGAAGGGTATTGATCACTGCCTCTGAGAGACCTAGTAGTTGAAGTCTTTCTTTCTCAAGACCCATACCCCCAATTTGAGGCGTTCCAGATAAGGATGGAATACTGGGCCCTGCGTGAGCAGATCCTCCATTACTGGAAGAGGCCAAGGTTGTTCCTGGCTCATCATAGTTAATAGGGGAAACCACGGCCTCCGAGGCCAAATTGGGATTATGGCAATAACTTTCTTGCCTTCCGACCAAACCTTCCGCAGGAACATGGGTACATGGGTAAGGGAGGGAAAGCATACCCCAGATCGAACGACCAAGGAAGAGAGAGAGCATCCTGGCCCAGTGCCTAACAGTCCGGGTGGAGAGAGAAGTAATTCTCCACCTGATGATTCTGAGAGGATGCCATCAGGTCGATCTGGGGCATGCCCCACCGATGGGCAATTTCTGCAAAGATCGCCAGGTTTAGTTGCCATTCTCCCGGAAGAATTTCCTTCCTGCTGAGGAAGTCTGCCGTCACGTTCTCCGAACCTGGGAGATAGATCGCCTTCAGACCTTGAAGATAGGTCATTGCTATTGCCATTAAGGGAGCCAGCTCTTCCAGGAGCAACCTGCTCCTTGTGCCACCTTGGTTGTTCAGATATGAGGCCACCGCTCGGTTGTCTGTCTTGATTAGAACCCAAGAATTTTTTATCCTTGGCAGGAATCTCAATATGGCCTTGTAAACCGCTCTCAGTTCCCTTAAGTTTGAGTGTAGGCGACTCTCCTTTCGGGTCCACTTCCCTTGAGTCCATACAGAACTGAAGTGGGCACCCCATCCAAAAGAACTGGCATCTGTCATAATAACCTTCCAAGGGGGTTCTTCCAACGGGAAGCCTGTTGTCAGATTCCTCTCGCTTTTCCACCAGTTTAAGCTCTTCCTCACGGGCAGGGGAAGAGAGATCCTCTGCTCCCAATCCGTTTCCACCCTGTCGAACTGGAGAAGAAAGCAATTGTGGGCCGGACGGAACTTCCACTGGGCCCACTTCACCAACCCAATCCGTTTCCACCCTGTCTCAAGACCCACTCTTTCTCAAGACCCATACCCCCAATTTGAGGCGTTCCGGATAAGGATGGAATACTGGGCCCTGCGTGAGCAGATCCTCCATTACTGGAAGAGGCCAAGGTTGTTCCTGGCTCATCATAGTTAATAGGGGAAACCACGCCAGGACGCACAGGGAGCCCCAGGGAGCAGGGAAGCCTGCACAGCCCCAGATGAAAACAGAGAGGTGCCAGAATACAAGACCCCCTAAGTATGGATTCAAATACTGCCATCAAGGTATGGGGGGGAATATATGGCCCCAATTAGTAGGGGCAGGCTGAAAACAGGGGGAATTTTTAAGGCTAACCAACCCCACAAATAAACAGAAACAGTGTCTCCCTCAAACACTTACTTCCCACGCTGCAGTTCAGTACTTACACTGAACCTGACCCAGTTGCCATGGAGTCAATAGGCAGTGTAGTTTTCTTAGCCATATGGATCACTGCAGCGTCAATTTTAGGAACTGAGTTCCACAGGCAGCAGTCCACTGTAGAGTACGGATAAACCCTCGCGAACTTATTTTTTAAGGTGGACTTCTTTTCAGGCTTATTCCATTCCTGAAGGATCATATCCCTGATTGATGCATGCACCGGGAAAGTAGGTCTGTTAGGCTTTAGGTCCTCAAAAAACCTGTCAGCCTCCTTCAATTCAGATCTTTATTCAGTGAGACTAAGCGTGTCTCTGAGAAGGGTAATAAGTCTATCAACAGACCTGGAGTCAAGAGACCTGGAGGCATATTCAGCTTCCTCCTCACCTTCATCCGAGACCTCCCACACATCAGGGTCCTCATCAGAGCTGGAAGACTCAGGTTCCGCTCTGCGTCTCTTACTCAGACCACTAGATCCCGTGGTAGCCTTAAAGCCCTCAGCAACAGCCTGGGAAATCCAGAGCTTAAGGTCGTCCCGTGGAGAGCTCCTACTGGGGGCGTCTGCGACTTCCAACAAGCATTCCTTGCAAAGGTTCCTTCCATTCGGAGCAGGCGAAGAACAATTAATGCATTTATTAGACTTTTCCCGTGATTTTCTTGCTGGAGAATCCAGATGAACGCTGGGGCTGGAATAAAGCCATATATGACATATATTACAGGCTCAGTATGGCACTCTTTTAACAACCCCCCCCAAAAATTTATAAATGGCTCACCTATGTTTTCTACAGAGGGATCTTGCAGAGGCAGAGGGAGAATCCATACTATAAAGAAGAACCAAAGGAAAATTCAAGACCTAATTCCCCAAAGGGATAAAAGAGGCAAGCTGATAAAAAAGGCAAACTTCCAATCAGCAGTAAGAACAGCAATCCTACCTTAAAGAGCAGAACTTCCACCAAGCAGCCAGGTCGCAGAAAGAAGCAGCTGAAACACAGGTATGAACCAATTCTTTGGGAAGAACAACACAAGACTGCAGATACAGCACTAGGTAGCTGTATCAGAGGCTTTAAATAGGACCGGGCACTGAACAGCTGATCACCCGGTCCACGCATGCGCAGAGCGCTGGAACGCACGCCATGCGTTCTAAACGCTCGCGGCCGGCATGTGAGTCACTTCCGAGTCAGCCCCCAACGCCAGGACGCACAGGGAGCCCCAGGGAGCAGGGAAGCCTGCACAGCCCCAGATGAAAACAGAGAGGTACCAGAATACAAGACCCCCTAAGTATGGATTCAAATACTGCCAACAAGGTATGGGGGGGAATATATGGCCCCAATTAGTAGGGGCAGGCTGAAAACAGGGGGAATTTTTAAGGCTAACCAACCCCACAAATAAACAGAAACAGTGTCTCCCTCAAACACTTACTTCCCACGCTGCAGTTCAGTACTTACACTGAACCTGACCCAGTTAGTCCTGCTCATGCAGGCTGTTTACTGGGTCCTTCAAATGAAGAGAGGCTGAACTTCATTTGGAACGAACCCACGACAAACGCAGGAAGGTGGCCATAAAATAAAATGTAAAAAGTCCTGTAGAACTTGCTAAGGACAGGAAAAAAGACTGAGGTGTAAGGGGAGGAGGGACTCTTTATACCTATCAGTCTGATTAATTAATCTAATTAATTCCTGTCTTGTGACTGCTAAGGGAGGAGCTACCCATAAGTGATGCTGCCATGATTAGCCAGGAAAAAGCTTTTGGTCACTGCCCTATAGTCTTATTCTGATACTCTTCCCTCCGAACCTTCACATAAATAAGGTCAATGTAGCAACGGATAGCAACAGAAACAGCTAGTATGGTGATTAGCAAACTATTGAAGGGGGCTGGAGATGTACCCTGGGCCAATTTTTTTCCAAGTCTGGGCTTGCATAGAAGTAAGACAAAGCAAAATGACTCAGTTTTAAAAATAAATGCACCCTAAGAAATTTAAAAAGTTTCCACAAGGGGGTGGGGCATGCTCTTCATGGTGGCTGGATGCACATTGTGTGAGCTCCAAGCCAGATCTTCACATTTAGTGAGATAACTGACTCCCAGCTCGCCAAAAAGCCCCAATCTGAAACTTACCTGCTCCAGGAGTCGATCAGAGTGCCTCATATAATTTTAATTGATCATGAGGGGGTGCATTTATCAGAGGCTTCTGTGAGGCCTATGCCAGATGAGTGAGGCCCTGTTCGATGTTCTTCTGCAGGATCATCTTTTTGCCCCGTTTCCCCCCCCTCTGGACTGGTGGGGGTTATCCCGGTCCCCACTGGACTCTAATTCGGACCAGTGTGATTCATTGGTACGGTACCTTTTTGGTTGATTAATCCATGCGTGCTGTTGTGGCACTTCACATATGCTTGTAATTTTCTTGCACAGAAAAAATAAAGAATTAATAAAAAAATTTTAAAAAAAAGTTTCCACAAATGAAGATTCAAGCAGTAACCCATCTATAGCAGGACAGCATGATATAAAGCTAAAATTGCTGTCTGTACTTATCAGCTGTAGCGATATGCCAGCGCCTGGTATTACCAATGCTTAACCCCTTAACGACCGAGGACGGTTCAGGACCGTCATCGGCATTTTTGCCTTGCCGACCGATGACGGTCCTGAACCGTCCTAACGGTCTGAGCTACTTACCTGATCAGCGTGGCTCCCGGTGTGGGGAGACTGCCTGCAGCCCAGACAGTCTCCCCACACTGAATTAGGACCCCTGTGGCCATGTGATCGCTCAACACAGCGATCACATGGTCACAATAGGTGTCCATGTGTCTGCCTGCAGGGGGACTGTCTGTGCTGACAGGCAGTCTCCCTGCTAGTGTAAAAAAATAAAATAAAATAAAGTTAGTGTTAAAAAATAAAAATAAAATTATATATGTGTTGTGATAAAGTGAAGGCAGATAGGCCTTTTAACCCCAGGGGAAGTACGTGTAGTTTGTGTGTTGCACAACACAAAGCTTTGTTTAGTTATGGGCCCCTGGGGTGGAGCATTTGGAGAGAAGGGTGGGCCAATGCTCCACTCCACAGTTTAGTGGTTTTCTGGGGAGACATAGACCCTGGCCAGGGTTTTTTGGACCGTCTCCAACCCACTGCTCAGCTGCAGTTAATGAGCTGTTGCAGTGGGCATAAACCCCTCCCTGCTAGGCAGGTAAAAGAGAGGGATTGCTGGCTTCCTCCCAAGAAGCAGGTAGGAGAGAGGCTGTTCTCTCCAGATACAGAGTCAAGGAGACTAGGCACTGGGAGTGCAGAAAGGAAGCAGTCAAGGCTGGCTTGGAGCACTAGGAGTGCAGAAAGGAAAGCAGTCAGGGCAAGGCTGGCTTGGAGCACTGGGAGTGCATGAGGAAGCAGTCAAGGCTTGCTTGGAGCACTGGGAGTGCAGAAAGGAAAGCAGTCAGGGCAAGGCTGGCTTGGAGCACTGGGAGTGGAGAAAGAAAAGCAACAGGCTAGCTAGCAGAGTGTTGCTATCTAATAAGGTTGGTGCAGTATGTTTTGTTAGTTTAACCCTGATAGAGAGGGTTATTCAAAGTGAGTCAGTGCTCAGACGAGATA